GACCAATCTTCCGACAGACACCGGCAAACACTACAGCTCCCCACAGCAACAGAGCAGAACGTCACGTAATCAGCTGTGACTCGTCGACGCGTTTCGTCCCGCCCACAGTACTTTCTCAAGACAAAGTAATTGCCACAGATCAAAGATTAAATAGCCCAGGCATAACCTAATTAACCCCTTAAGGACCAAACTTCTGGAATAAAAGGGAATCATGACATGTCACACATGTCATGTGTCCTTAAGGGGTTAACATAAGTGAAAGGTAAACCCTGGACTGGATCCATAAAAAACTTTTTCATCAACAACAATAACATGTTAAAAGAAAAACTTTTTATTCCATAATAATGTATATAATTTTAATTAGACCACCATAAAAAATATATAAATATGTAAAACTGAAAAATAATAATAAGAAATAATAAATCTTAAAAATTAGAGAGAAAAAACACAGAATGTTTTATATTAAAAACATATACAAAATGAACCCCAAAATAACATAAAAATGCAGACACTATCATAAAGTGTATTATAACATAAAACAAACCAAAAAAATGTTTAGAATAGATCTAGCTCTTCATTCAAGCCGTTAGGTGTCATTGTATTTAACTTAAAAATCCACATGGACTCAGACTTTATTAGTTCCCTTTTTCTTACTGCCCCATCCTGGTGTGGAGGAATATGTGTTAGCCCCATTAACTTAATGCCTGATGGATTCTTTTCATGGTACACAGGGCTACTGATGACTTAGTATTATTACGAATTATAGCCGTTCTATGTTCTCGGAACCTGCATTTCAAGGGCCTAGTAGTTTGGCCCACATATTGCCGATCACACGGGCAGATTAGAAGGTACACTACAAATGGAGTGTTACAGGTAATTTCAGATTGCACTGAAAATACCTCAGAGCTATTATAAGGGCTAAAACTTGAAACGAGGTGACAAATATAGCCACAAGTGAGACATTTAGTATGGCCACAGCGTTTGTTAATTAGACCCTCTTTCTTCGCTCTCGTATTTCTTTCATTGGAGTGCTGTAACTTAGAGGGAGCTAAAATATTTTTCACACTGGGAGCTTTCCTGAATGTAATCCTAGGGCATTCTGAAATGCAAAAGGATAACCAGGGATATAAAACAAACTTATTTGCCGACGACGTGCTGCTCACCCTGACACAACCCCAGATATCTCTCCCCAACCTGGTGGAAACAATTCTAGAATATGGACGGCACTCGTACTATAAACTAAACATTAGCAAGACTCAAGCCATGGGAGTGGGGATTGGGACGGACGCTCTAGATAGACTTAAATCTGCCTTTTCATTCGACTGGAGAACAGACCACATTACGTTCCTAGGCATAAACATCCCGACCCAATTAAATAAGCTAATAGAAAAAAACTACACCAAACTCTACAAAGAACTAGTGGCGACTCTAGAAGGTTGGGAGGGCAAATACTTATCATGGGTAGGGAGGCTGGCAGCATTGAAGATGATGCTGCTTCCCAAACTCCAGTATCTTCTACGCACACTACCCATAAAGCTACCAAAAACATACTTTAAAACACTGCAGAGTCTCCTGGTCCGATTCATATGGGCAAAGAAAAAACCAAGGGTGGCAGCCTGGGTCCTACAAAGACCGATCGAAAAGGGAGGGCTGGGGCTACCAAACATTCACACTTACTATAAGACAGCACACATAGCAGCTATCAAAGCATCTACGACAGAAGGGGAAACCCCACAATGGTCCAAAATAGAAGCCCACTGGGCGGGAGGGTATGGCTTACACAACATATTCTGGCTACCAAGACACCTACGCCCCGCACATATCGACCCCCTACCGACCACCTTGACCACCATGACAATCTGGGATGAGACAACGTGTAGGGAGAGGGCCCGGGACAGTATACCAGGGAACGCCCCGATCTCCGTGATCGCGGTAGGAATCCCAACATTTGAACATAAACAGTGGAGAGACGGAGGGTGCACAACAGTCACACATCTATACAAAGAAGGAAAGTTAATGACCTTTCCAGACCTCCAAGAACTATACCACCTCCCAAATAGAGCCATATTCCCATTTCTACAACTGAAGTCCTTTCTCAAGGGGATAGAAGTACAAAACACATCACAGGAACAAGAGTGTAAGTTAGAGCAACTATGCCTCTCACCAAAACCAGCCAAACGCACACTATCTACGCTATATAAAGAGCTACATAATGAGCCACGGGACACCATTATGCCATTCCAAGAAGCGTGGAACGGGGAACTGGGATACGTCCTACCACCGGAAAAATGGGAGAGGGCCTTTAAAATTCACAAGGGGAACACACAATGCTCCACACATTTAGAAACTATAAGGAAGCTACAATACAGGTGGTATATGGTACCAGAGAGGCTATCTAAAATATACCCAGACTCCCCCAATAGATGCTGGAGATGTGGGGCCCAGGGAGGGTCAATGGGACACACATGGTGGTCATGCGAGAGACTAGCACCACTCTGGGTGACGCTGGAACAGGCCACTTAACCTTGAACAATGCATACTCTTTATGATTCCCACAACATTGAACAAAATAGAGGAACGACTAATCTTCCACATGCTAATTTCTGCAGTAACACTATTAGCCAGAGCATGGAAATCAACCCAGGTGCCGAACAGGGAAGCATTAATAAATCAAGCAGACACCAATTGGAAGTATGAATTAATGGCCTTCAAACACTTGACACCACAGGGAAACATTAAAAAAGCGGGGGGAGAGATGGAGGGAATACAGAGAGGGACCAGAGGGGACACGGAACCCAGTAGCACCACAGGGGACCGATGCGAGATCAATCCAGAATGGGGGGAACCAGGATATAGCAAACAGAGGGTCACCACCCCCGTAAGAAATGGAAAAAGATGATAGACGTGGAACGTCTCAAGCAGTCGCAGAGGTCAGAATCACACCCCCCCCACAACCACTAACCACTAACCGCAGTAGGGGTTGGGCTCGAAAGGCGACGGCCCTAGAGGGATGAGGAGTATGGGTTGAAAATACAAAGGAAAATACAGAATGGTCATTGTGTAACACTAATGTAACTAATGTAACAACAATGTAAATTATTGTACCTGCACTAACCCCTTTCTTTTCTGTACCCTGGCGAGCAGGCGCCACAAGATACTTGACAACCATACAATAAAACTTATTTTCAAATAAAAAAATAAAAAAAAGACTGGCCGGACTTAACGTACCAAAGAATAGTCAGGATAGTTGCTGAGGTCAGGGGATACAGAAAGAGACACAACCATAAGGGAAAGCCAGTTGTCATGAATACCAGAACACAGGGAAGTCAAAATCAAAGCCAAAGTCAAAAACCTGAAGAAACTTGAATCAGGAACGCGATCTCAGACAACCAAAATGGAAACCACGACAGGGCACTGAGCAGGATGAGAACTGGGCCTAAATACCCCTCCTTTTGTTCTGATAGGCTGTAACCGGCCTTTGACCCCAAAGGCAGTTACCAGGTTCCCATTTGCTCAATTGCTGCTCAGCATTAACCCTTCTGTGGATTTGGTTGCTGCTCGGCACAACTTTTCCTGTGTGGACAGTAAATGCCATTAACCACATTTTTATAAGCGGATGAATACGTGACAATACCATTCATAATGTGTTAGCTATTTTACCAGATCGGCTAGGAGTATCCAATGCCAAGCCTAGGGTACATACTATACTTGTGTCTATGCCCTGCTTTAGCCAGCTAAGCTCTATTTCCAAGTCATGCATGTTAAGCTCATATGCACACCCAGTTCACGCACCTCCCCAGGCCACTCACCCCCAAGAAATGCCCAAACTCACCGGTGGGCATGACATTGGAACTCACAGGTCAGCCATAGTCCCTAATATCAGAGTCAATGATTCTGGTTTGCACAACGTAAATAGTTATGTACTTTTCTGTAACCCTTCCCGCCCAGTTGTTATTGTCAAAATGTCCTATACAGAACACGATACCTGCCTACTTTACCCAACATGACGCCAGTGAGGTTAATGTCCCTAAATGTTTGGGGCCTCAACTTCCCTGAGAAACTAACTATACTTAGACAGGAGTTAGATAGACAACAAGCAGATATTATATTTCTTCAGGAGACCCACTATAGGAGAACCTTTCAACCAAAATTCAACCAAACCAATAGACAAAGCATTCTATAGCAATTACCCATTGAGTAAATCCAGAGGATAGTACAACTCAGAGGATAGTACAACCAAAACTAAAGACAGCATGGCTCACCAGAAAACCCTGCTCTCCTACATACTACACACACACCAACTGACAGATTGCTGGCGACTCATGCACCCCCAAGAAAGGGATTTCACCTAGTACTTACACATTTCTAATTGTTATTCATGGCTAGATATTCTCTTCATGAGTCATAAACATCTGCATCTCATTGAAGAAGCAACGATAGGGAACATCACTTGGTCCGGCCATGCCCCGGTTTTCATTAGAATTTCTTTACAGGGGGAGACATCAAGGAGAATGGACTGGAGACAAAATGGGTTCCTGTTAGACAACCCGCATGTCGTAGAGGATGTACGAACATCTCTGGCAAGCTATTTCTTAGAAAACGCAAATGGGGAGAGCAGTGGTCCCTGGGTGTAGGAAGCGCATGTAGGGGTTATAAGGGCAATCCTCATCAATTGGTGCGCGCGTATCAAAAAAGAACGTATGACAAAAAGACGTACCCTAACAAAGACAATAGAGGCAAAGGAAACCACCTACAAACATGACCCCACCAGTGACTCTTAGACGGCTGACTGCTCTGAGAGAAAAGCTCCACAGCACACTAGCATCAAGAGCATATAGAGCGTACACAGCTGACGAGGGGCACTTTCTATGCCCATGGCAAAAAGACTGGGAAGTTTATAGCCAGGGCTCTTAAAAACAAACAGAGAGCGTTCATCTCAAAGATACAAGGAGCAGACGGGACACCACACATGACAACAGACACAATTGCCAACGCATTTAATGACTACTACCAGGGTCTGTATAACCTCTAACCACCCCAGTGCCCCCCCTATGGCAGTGAGGGACTATGTTGCTTCCAACTTATACAGCAAAATACCCATTGACATATGGGAACAACTAGAGGCACCCTTCACCGAGACTGAATTGGCAATTGTACTCGAAACACTCCTGAAAGGGAAAAGCCTGGGCCCGGATGGCCTTACAGCCCGGTACTTTAAGGTGTTCGACTCTTCCCTTAGCCCCCACTTTTTACAAACTGTAAATGGTATGGCTCCCAATGCCCAATTTCCCCCACTGATGCTACGAGCAGCAATAACTGTAATCCAAAACCACAGAAAGACCCAGCACTCTGCAGTAGCTACAGAGTTGAATTAATTAACACAACAAAGATGGGAAAAACACCTAATATACGTATAAAATATAAAAGACCACCTGGAAATATGGACCAGGATAAGTAGGTCAAATTGGAGATCTATGGAGATCTATAATAATAATAAACATGACATAGTGTAATACAACAAGGACACAATAGAATATGTGATGTCGTTAGAAAACTCACAAACATGTGATGATTCAGGCTTGTCACCCCACCAGGGGTTAAATGGACCAGGAAAGGTTCCAGATGTTGTGTCTTCATTTATGTAGGAAGGAGAAAAAAAACGAATATGGTGAAGTAAAATTCAAACTTTTTAAAAATTTATTAGAATGCACTTACAAACTGGAATTAAATTAGAGGCTTATCTCCACCCACTGTGGAATGTGTCAGAAGCTTGATAACTTGAGCAGGATGCCAGGCAGCAGCATAAAAACAAGTTAGAAATAAATAACAATTTGGTAAATTCCTGGATGTGCAGAGTCCAGGAGGTAGGAACTGTGGTCTTGTGCTGATCTCTTGGGCTGCAGAGTTCTGCTTTTTGCAGTGGTCAGGTATATAAAGGAGGGCGATAAGAGATCAGAGGGAATAATGGTGAGGTACGTTCAAAGAGGTGCCAATATAGAAGAAAAGGTAGAATGATTACTCACATTTACTAGAACTTAATCCAGCTCTGGTGTGTATAGCTTGCAGTGGTATGATCCCCGCTTGTGGGATATGCAGTGGGTGTCCTCTTGGTACAGTATCATAGATCCGAGGGGGAGACAGTAAAAATGGAAACAATAATGGTGAAGTATGTTCCACAGTAAAATAGGATAATAAAATATAGGGATAACACTCACATTTAATAGAGCATATACTAGCTCTAGTGTGGTAGGCATACAGCGGTACAATCCCCGCCTCTGGGATATATGATGAGTGTTCTTTAAAGATTGTGGTAACAGGAACCCAAATGGAAGAAAATACAAAAAACAGCAATAGTGCTCTCAATAAAATATTTTAGGTATAAAATATTATAAAATATTCTCACAATATATAGAGCAGGGTAACTGCTCTATGACAACAGCGTAGGTGGTATGATCCCCACCTGGGATTCTTTGGAGTAGTGGATGTTGTATAATCCTTCTCACACCACCAATACTTCCAATTGGTATCCTTTTGAGAGAAATCCACTCTGCGTTGTGTTTTAATAGTGAATGTAATATCCCTGTGTTACCTCTTCCAAGAACTAACATATATCTTTATCCTCTTGTCCAGATAAATATATGACTAGCACTACTAAAGTATTCTACCCGATATTACAAATAAACAGCCAACACCATAGTTCTTACCAGAGAGAAATCTTTACTTAGAATTTGCCCAATTAAATATTACAGAAGAAGAATGTTACAGAGTTATGGTATAACAGAGCTACAATACATTCATAACACTCACACATTCCAACTATCTAATAATATCTACTGTATGGTGTATGTGCTGTGAGATGTTGTATGCAGCATATGTGTCTTACCAAACCTGATCTAATGTGATGTCAGTATCTTCTATTTTTAAAGGAATTGGTTCCCATGTTGTAAATAGCAAATTCCTCAGCTCAATTGATATGTAAATGTCATTTACTTTCCCAAGGCCCAAAGTGTTGTCTATCCTGTTATTTTATTTAAGTGTTAACTCTCCCAGCCATCCCTTTGCCTCTAACCTAAGGTGAAGACCAGTTGATATGTAAATGTGATGTGCCTTTCAGGTGCTGTATCTTTCCAACTATCTAAACAGAAACTCCCTTTGAAGATAATTCCTGACCTCCCATACACACAGACTTAATCAAGCACATATTAAACAGATATATATATAATCATAATATTTTCCCCAACAGTGGAGAGTGTAGCGTTACTTACCTTAACCAGGGGCTGGCCGCGGTCCTCTCTTCGAGCCGCGCGCAGTCCTGCTGCTGCACGAGCCGCGCGCGACTCATCCGACGGCTTCAATAGGAAGGCGGTCACGTGTCTCGCCTGAATCTAAGAGCGTGCCGCGAGTCGCGGGCGCGCTCTTAAAGAGACAGTGGGAGCCTAAATTGTTAAAAGGCTCCCATTGGCTCCTGTCATGCCACACTCCCCATACACTTACCTTTTGGGGATGTGGATATGACAGGAGCCAATCACATTAGTTTAGAAGCTATTTAAACTTACCTCTCCCTTTACTCCCTGCCCTATCGTGGTTTCTGTTTCAGTTCCCTTTAGCGCTTGTTGAGCTCAGTTGTGTTTTCTTCGTATTGACTTTGGCTTTGTTTCTGACTATGTTTTCTCTTTATCCTTATCTGTTCTGGTTGTCGGCTTGCTGTTTACTGTGTACCAGACCCCGGCTAGTCCTAGTTTACGCTGTCTCTCTGTGCCCTTGACTTCGGATCGTTCCTGACTCTGCCTCCTCTCATATACGTCGAGTCCGGCCATTCTAAGGTCCAGTAGACGTATCTCTCCTCTGTGTTGTCTTCTGTTTAGCTGAATCCTGTGTGTTGGGGTATATTCTCGTTACAGAGAGAAGTAAAATGCCAGGTTGTAGTAAAAAATAAAATAAATAATAAATAATAAAAATGTGAATAAAATATGATGGTACACAAAAGTAAAAGGACAAAAATCTATTTATTAACAATATAAAAATCAATTTAACAATATCCAAACGCGTTTCACCATATAGGCTTTATCAATGGATTAAGAGCTTCCATATTGGGACCAGATCATACTCCCTCTGAAAAATACACTGACCCCATCCCAGGTTTTGCTGGGCTGGCCAAACAACTACAATAAAAAATGACTACGCCTTTTACTGGAAGAAGCCAATGCATGAATTCCAGTTTACTGGTGCCAAACCCAAATCCCAAATAAGGAACAATGGCTCGCCAGAGTAGAAAGTATGAGGGAAATGGAGGACCTACACTGGTTGGTGGAGGGTAAACGTACAACATACATACGAACATGGGAACCTTGGTTATAACACTGATAATGTTGAACAGAAAAAAACCCAGCTCCAACAGAGTGGAAATATTGAGTAATCTAGTGAGACAGAGAATATAGGACCCCCTCCCCCCATCCTGTCCTTATCCCTTAAGTTTCCCTTACCTCACCAGTTACTAACGGTCAAGACTTTGTGGAGGGGCGAAGGATTGTGAGAGACCAGGCATACACTGCAGGATTAGTACCTGGGGAACAGAGGAGACAGTGAGTCTGACCTCCATGAAGCAGGTCTATGGAACAGGGATTACATGTCATACAAATTTCTACACTCAAACCGAAGTGACTCTCCTCATTATGGTGTTGGCTGACATACCCTCTTAAAGGTTTGAATGGGTGGCCGACATAGTACAGGTACAACGATTTAGCGAGTATTGAACCCCCAGGCCCAATACTTGCTAGCCTGTCCCACTCATAAACTGTAACAGTACTTTAACAATGTTTACTACATTTTGTGAAAGCCTTGACCCCCCCACTATGTATGAAAATGTTTCCCCTTTTTTCCTTTCTGTACCTCCATTTTCTTTGCAATGTGAAAAATAAAAACATTGAAATAAAAAAATAATAATGACTCCCACACATGAATAAATAGCCAAATATTTTACACCTGTATATATGGTACATTAACACCAGCCAATTACTGTATCAAATCTGAAATGCATGCACTGACATATTATTTATATAAGTGGATGATCAGTATTAACAGATTATTTATCAACCCAAGATGCAGTTGATCTTGTGAGATCCTGCAAGATTTGCCATTTTGAATTGAGTAACGGATAAAGATTATCTGCCTTTTCGAATGATAAGCCACAGTTTTGGTGGGTAATAATCCTTCTATACAGGCAGATCATTTACATTTTGAGATAGTTTTTCCCATGGGAATAACAGATTAACCCTTAATGGTCCTGCTGGTCTGGTGGATAGTAGAATAAGTGACACATTGATTACAGAGTAACTGAGGATCTATACTTTATAGAATGTATAAACAGTATAATATGTTCTGTACTATTGCTAGTGTTCTTGAAGTGCCAATACATTGTATGCACATAGTTCCTGCATTTTATGCAGCAAAATGATAATTCCATACAATATTATTGCTTGAGTTGGCAGTGTGCTGATTAGTTACAATGTAATTAGAATTACTGTAGGGGCTGTTTGAAACGTGGGAATAGTAAAGCAGGGATTAAATCAATTTTGACTCCACTTTCGGAAATGTAATTAACTCAAATCATGTTATCAATACACCAGTAATTTTTTTTTACTTGATCTTTACTTTAAGTTCACAAGGTAATCCCCTAGAGTATTATACACTTTAAAAGGAGAATTAAAATGTGTTTCATGTTATTATGTACATAACATGTTAATTAATGTATTCCATTTCCACTGGTATGATTGATTGTTTTTATATTATATATAACATAGGGACATGTATGTCCCTATATTGTATGTTACAGGACTATTAGAAAATCCATAGAGTCCTTATATTTTAGATATTATTATTATGTACGCCAGGGGTGCCTAAAAAGTAGGTCCCCAGATGTTTTAAAACTACAATTCCCATGATGCTTCGCATGCACTTAGAATGCCTTTAGAATGACAAATCATTATAGTAACTGTAGTTTTAAAACATCTGGGGATCTGCCTATTGGGTACCACTGATGTACATGATCCTCATGATGTAAAATAGCCAACAAATAATACAAAGTTGAGAGACTTTGCCCTGTCCCGAACAAAAATAAAATGCTCTAATCTTACCAGCTGGAAGTCTTAGCATTTGTGCAGGTCTCACTAATAATTTATGTACTAAACCTGTAATTGCTCGACAAGGGTATAGCAATTTTTAGGACAAAATAGAATTAAAAAAAAAATATTAAAAAATAGATTGGCTTTTTTTGCCTAAACCATGTCGTTCACTTGTCAATTGTCTGGAAAGAGCAGCTGTAATCCCTTCCAATATGTTGTATGCTGTTAATTTGGCATTGGGGAATTTTCTCTGA